CCCGGCCCCGCCACGCCCTCAGGGTCCGATGGAGGCGGCCGCGCTGAGCGACCCGGCTCAGGTAAATGCTGAGTCTCTGAACCCTCACCCTCCCTCACCCCAACCCAAATCTTATTAACTCTAGTGAGGGGCGCCTGCTCACGTCCCTGCAGCACAAGTCCCAGCGTCCCGGACACTGTGGTGCTCGTGGGCGGGCTCCTGTTTCTGACAGCCAGTGTGATGAGGTGTGGGAGAGTGTGACAGGCGAGGGGGTGGGGGGACTGCACATACAAAGGTTTGGAGGTGTGCTTGAGCCGAGAGGATTCGGGAAACTCGGGCCGTCTTGTCTCTTCAGGAACAGTGTGAGGCAGAGTTGCATCTGACGAATTTGACCTTTCTCAGGATACCGGGAGCCATAAAGGGCTGTGAACAGAGAGGGACACGGCCTGAGACAGGGTCTAAAAGTTTCCAGAAGTTGCTCAGAGGAAGAACAGACTGGAAGAGAGATGATAGTAGTTAAGCACAAGAAGTTTGAGTCCTTGTCCAAGATCTCACAGCTGGTAAGAGTCAGCACTGGGGACTGAAGCACAGAGATAATGCAGCCACCCTAGACCACCTGGCTCCAGGGGTGGGCAGGGTCATTGGACGGCCTGAGCCTGTGGAACCTGGCAGTGGTTGCCAGACTCTCATGTCCTCTCTGTTTCTTCAGATTCCTGTGACTGCAGAATCGCTTATGGAGCCTAAACTGGTGAGTGGAGTATGTCACTAGTCCTCACCGCATCTGTATTGTCTCTGGGTTAGTCGTGTCCTTGGACTGTTCTCCTGTCATTCTTCCAGCCTTGGGTCTGGGGACCTTGAATATATATAAAGCCCAGGGTCCTATAAAGTTGTTGGCAACCAATGAAGTTTAGAAGGTTGTCCCATGCATACTTACCAGTATGTGCAGAGGCTTGGAGGGGAGGCTGAGCTGGTTCGTAGTTTCCTTTCTTTCTCATGGGAACTGGGAGCAATGCAACAGGAGTCAGGTCTGGAATGGCTCCCTGAAAAGTTGAGTGTTTGTTCTGTATGTGATAGTAACAATGGGAGGTTTGGAGTGGAGGAGGAGGTGATCTGACCCAGGTCTCATCAGGCTGTCTGGCAGTGGCATAGGAAACAGACTGTGGGGTAAGGGAGGTGGTAGAGAGACCAGGAAAGAGGCTGCTGGGATAGCCCAGGTGAATGTGATAGTAGCTGGGCCACTGTGGTGGCTATGGAAGTGGGAGAAGTGGTTGGACTCTGGATCTGTTTTTTAAACAGGGCTTCCTGAATTTTCTAATGTTGAGGGTGAGAGAGAAGTATGAGTCAGGCACCAGGGATGACTCAAAGATTTGATTTTGGCAGCTGGAAGGATGGAAGCTCCATCAACTGAGATGGGGAGCTCCATAGTAGCAGTAATTTTTATTGGGGGATATCAGTTTTATTTTTGGTCTGTTAAGAGTATAAGAATTTTCAGAGAACAGTTCGTGAACAGCTGGAACCATAGTTCTGGAACTGTGAGGAGGGATTCAGGATGGAGACTTCTCCAAAAGATAGTGGGCAGTGTGTGGACTGTGGCGGAGCTGTGGATCACATTTAGTAGAGGGCAAGCTGGTTGTGATGGTAATGTTAATAGTTGCCCAGGAAGGGGAGGGAGGGTTGAGGACACAATCTTCTGTGTGAGCCCCTGGTTGTGGGAGGTGGATGACACACCACAGGTTATGGAGAGCAGTGTTCATGGGAAGGGTAGGAGAGACGGTATGATCTGACATGTGGTTAAGGCTTCTCAGGGATATGCGGACATGAGATGGATCTGGGGGCATAGGAGTAATTCAAAGATGACTTGGGCTGGTGTTTATTCACCACTCTACAGACTCACCAGGATTTTGTTGTAACTGTTGGTGGTTCCTAGGGTTCTTCAGTCAGGCTGTCAGATTAGCCTAGGGGCCTAAGTGGCCATCGATGAGGCTCACTGAACCCGGGTAGAGAGCCACTGGGGTTGGACCTTGAATGAGAGTTAGAGAGAGGAAGGCTGTGACTGGTGAAGAGACAGCAAGTGTAGCCCAGAAATGGAAAAGTGCCATGGGTATCTCCGGTCCACGAGTGGTTCTTGGTGGTACGGTTGAAATAAGGAACTGACTCAGGTAGAGATGCTTTCATGGCACAGCTCAAGGCTCCCTCCTGCATTGTAGACAAGCAGAGGTCTGGTGGTACTGAATCCTGTTTGAATTAGCCACCCACTCTCTGGACCCCATGTGCTGAATAACCAATGGGGAGACAAAGGAGCTACTCCTGGTATGGAGCAGGGAGGGGGCGGTGGCTGTGGGAGTGCAGCCATGTGAGAGAGGTATGGTGATGTGCATGTGGAGAGGGAGTGTGAACTGATAGCCACAGGCCCTGGCATTGAGGACAAAAGGGTGAAGAGTGATTCCATGTTTGGTTGTATGTGAGAGAAAGGATCTGGGGGACCCCAAGTGAACGGTGGCTGTGGGAGTGCAGCCATGTGAGAGAGGTATGGTGATGTGCATGTGGAGAGGGAGTGTGAACTGATGGCCACAGGCCCTGGCATTGAGGACAAAAGTGTGAAGAGTGATTCCATGTTTGGTTGTATGTGAGAGAAAGGATCTGGGGGACCCCAAGTGAATTTCCAGAAAACAGAAGTTTGGCCTTATGTATATGCCAGGTCCAGAGCTTAGGTGGCACTTATCTGTCCACCTGCCTGTGGGTGAACATGGTAATCAGTGGGACCATGAGGAGAGAGTGAGTATCAGTGGCACCAGGGCAGGTATCTCGGCTGATGTGGGGAGATAGGGAATAGGGTTAGCAGGGGATGGATTTGGAGGTGTGTGGATGAGGGTGAACTTGGAATTCTAGGAGAGAAGCTGATCATGGAGTGAACTGTTTTCATCATGGCAGGGCTGTGTGACCTTTGAGGTTGCAGTTGTGGGACTGCAGCTGTATGTGTGAGAGACGTGTGGTTCAAAGAGTGATGTGCATGGGAAGAGGGAGTGTGAACTGTTGGCCCCGTGGGCGAATTAGTATCACAAGGATAAAGGGTGAGCCCATGGTTTTTATGTCTTGGAGGGATGATCTAGGTGATCTCAAGGGTATTGCCTGACAAGACCAACGTCCAGTCACCCACACCCTCTCTATTGCCACTTCTCATCCTAACCAGTATTTGTGACATCCAACACATTGACAAGAGGCAGTATGTCCTATATGCCAGGCCCAGAAGTTAGATATTGTCTACCTTTTCACGTGCTTAGTATTGCCATGGAAGGACACAGTATCAATAGAATTGTAGGAGAGAGTGGGCATCAGCAGCACCTGGGCCGGGTATCTCCTCCAAGGTGGGGAGGTGAACAATAGGGTGAGCAGGGAATTGATGTGGGGGGTAGGGGGATGATGAACTTGGGGTCCTAGGAGAGAAGCTGATCATAGAATGAATTATCCCCATTATGTCAGGGTATGACCTTTGAGGACGTGGCCATTTACTTCTCCCAGGAGGAATGGGAGCTCCTGGATGAGGCGCAGAGGCTCCTGTACTGCAATGTGATGCTGGAGAACTTTACACTTGTAGCATCCCTGGGTAAGGCACTCATATTCCTCCCAGTGTCCTGAGTGGTCTCTGCCTTCCTTTTTTATCTCAGAGTTACCTCTGTCTCAGGAGTCTTGCTGTCAGCCTAATGGATCTCATCTTCCTTGCTTTCTCCCTGTTAGGGTGATTATGTCCAGATCCATAGTACATTGTGCCCCAATTTCTGTCCCCTTCCTCTAGCTTCCATTTCCTTATTGGCCACCTGTGCCAGGAATTGCAGGCATTGTCATGGTCACATGACCCATGGGATGTTCTTACAAGACCCTCCTTCGAGTGTTTTTCATAGTATTTTCTTTCCTATATACTATCGTATGCCAAGTTTTCTTAGCCAGTGCTGGTCACTCACCTGTCTTCTCTTTCCTTAAGACTTACATCATTCATGTCCCATGTAGTTGCACAGTGAGGGATGCAGGGAGAACACTAGTAGCTTCACAGGGTAGACATTTCAGGATGGTCTCAGAGGAGGCCTGGCCCTGGTAAGTGGCCGCTGGGGAAGGGCATGACATCTAGGTTGTCCAGGAACCTGCACTGTGTCTAACAGCGTTTTGGTACAAGTGTCATTAGCCATACCTCATTTCCACTCCTCCTATACTTGAAACTTTGCCAACTTGTCACTTCATCTGTGACTTGTGGCTCCCAGTTAACTCTACTTTTGTGCCCACTATGCACAACTTGTTCCTTTCCATTACTCACTTAGCAACGTTCTCCAGCTGTGACTCACAGTGTTGTGAGATGTGCACACATCGCCAGATAGTCTTAGATCACAGCTGCTCATTTCCAATTGGATTATCCTGGGACTGGGCACTAGCAACCTTCTGTACTATACACATATGTCACCAGTAGAGAAGGTCCTGCTGAAGGCTGTTGGCAGAGAAGTGAGTTGGGTACTCTGCTTCTCCCCATGTGCTGAACCTATCTTTGTCCCTTGTCTGGTGAGGTATTCTGTAATGTGTAATCATCAAAGGCCCAGTATGTCAAAGCAGCCCTTTCCTCAGTCTGTCCCCCAGTTCTCTTGTTCTCAGAATAATCCCATGGACTCATAACTTGTTTTATCTCACATATCTTTGTGATAGGTCTTTCCTGTCTCACCAAAGTCAACATGCATCTCATCAGCATTTCTCTGATTTTAGATTATTGCCATGGAATGGAGGATGAGGAGGTAACTTCCAAGCACAGTGTATCTGTAGAAGAAGTGTCACAGGTCAGAACTTCTAAGGCAGGTTCATTCACCCAGAAGAGTCACCTCTGTGAGGTGTATGTCCCAGTCTTGAAAGACATTTTGCACCAGGCTGAGCACCAAACAGCATACCCTGTGCAAAAATCATACTTGGGTAGCACAGGTATGAAAAGCTTCTGTTTCAGTGCAAACCCTCAGCAGTACCAGAAGCATTACAGCAGAGAAAAGCCATGGAAAAGGGATGTGGAAAGGGCCTTGTTATTTGTGACAAGCTGCAGATTCCACGTGTCAACAAATCTCTTCACCTGTGGAGAGAATAGGAAGGACTTCCCAGCCACCATGGACCTTCTCCAGCACCAGGCCACTCCCAACAGTAGCAGCAGCAAGTGTGGGCAGGCATTTTGCAGTGGAAAAAGTCAGTACAAGAGGGGTGAACACAGAAAAGCTTCAAGCCACAAACACATACTTGTTCAGCATCAGAGTGTCTGCTCTGGAGAAGGGCTTTATGAGTGTAGCAAATGTGAGAAAGCCTTCACTTGCCAGTACACATTTGTTCAGCACCAGCAAATTCACACTGGACAAAGGACATATGAGTGTAGTGAATGTGGGAAATCTTTTAGCAAAAAGTGCCATCTTATTGTACATAAGAGCATTCACACTGGAGAAAGGCCTTGTGAATGCAGTGAATGTGGAAAAGCCTTTATCCACAAATCCAAACTCCTTCACCACCAGAGACATCATGCTGGAGGAATGCATTATAAGTGTGGTGAATGTCAGAAATCCTTTAACTACAAATCCAACCTCATTGAACACCAGAGAGTTCACACTGGAGAAAGGCCTTATGAGTGCAGCGAGTGTGGAAAATTCTTTAGACAAAGCTCTAGCCTCTTTCGACACCAGAGAGTTCACACTGGAGAAAAGCCTTATCAATGCTGCGAATGTGGGAAATCCTTTAGACAAATCTTCAATCTAATTCGGCATAGGAGAGTTCACACTGGAGAAATGCCTTATCAGTGCAGTGATTGTGGGAAAGCCTTTAGCTGCAAATCCGAACTCATTCAACACCAGAGAATTCACAGTGGAGAAAGACCTTACAAGTGCAGTGAATGTGGAAAATCCTTTAGACAGTTCTCTAACCTCATTCGACACCGTAGTGTTCACACTGGTGATAGGCCTTACAAGTGCAATGAATGCGAGAAATCCTTTAGCCGCAAATTTATTCTCATTCAACATCAGAGAGTTCACACTGGAGAAAGGCCTTATGAGTGCAGTGAATGTGGGAAATCTTTTACCCGCAAGTCTGACCTCATTCAACACCGGAGAATTCATACTGGCACAAGACCTTATGAATGCAGTGAATGTGGGAAATCTTTTAGACAACGCTCTGGACTCATTCAACACCAGAGAGTTCATACTGGAGAAAGGCCTTATGAGTGTAATGAATGTGGAAAATCTTTTAGCCAAAGTGCTAGCCTAATTCAACACCACAGAGTTCACACTGGAGAAAGGCCTTATGAATGTAGTGAATGTGGAAAATCCTTTAGCCAAAGCTCTAGCCTCATTCAACACCAGAGAAGTCACACTGGAGAAAGACCTTATGAGTGCAGTGAGTGTGGGAAACCCTTTACCCACAAATCTGACCTCATTCAGCACCAAAGAGTTCACACTGGAGAAAGGCCTTTTGAATGCAGTGAATGTGGGAAATCCTTTAGCCGCAAATCTAACCTCATTCGACACTGGAGAGTCCACACTGAAGAAAGACCTTAAATGTGCAGGGAATGTGCTATGTCTTTATTCAGTATAACAACACTAAGAGAGACAGGTAGTCACCTACCTAAATTTACACTTCATTCATTGAACATCTACAACAATGGGGGATTCTTCTTAAATTTCAGGTATGTGGGAAGCTTTAAGGAGATTCATTCCATTTTTATTTATTAATAATGTTTCCCTTTTTTTCTTTTTATTGCAATTTTTTAATATGCCCAGGGCATAGCTTGATTTATTTCTGTGGCTGAAGCCATTTCACCTCTACCACCTGGCAGGCCTACACCCTGTGCATGAGAAGCAAACCTCTATACTTTCTCATTTGCTTGGGGAAATTATGAATAGCCCAAGCCCTTAGGGTGTCCTAATTTCCTTCTCTCTGACTTTAGGGCATGGACCTGACCCAGTTTTGGTCCAGAGGACTTGACCTGAGTTGTGCTTTCAGCTTGCTAAGAAGGATTACCATTTCCAGGGACATTGTTGGTTTCACATCTTGCTTGTGATGAATTTTTCCAGGTTTTATAGTTCACCAACTATATTAGCCTGTTTCTGTTGCTTATAACAAAATACATGAAATGGGGTGATTTAAAAGAATATGAAAGTTTCTTTAAAAGAAACTTTTTTTCTTTAAAGTTTAAGTTTAAAAGAAATGGAAATCTTACACTTTCAGACACTAGGAAGTCCAAAATCCAGGGAACACATCTGGTAAAGACCTCCTTTGGTGGTGACTTCAGTGACTGCAGAGTGTCACATTGCGAAAATGGTGGAGCAGAGAAAGCAGAGCAGAGAGGGCAACCTCCTCATTCACTCTCTTTTTTTTTTTTTTTTTAAAGATGACCGGTAAGGGGATCTTAACCCTTGACTTGGTGTTGTCAGCACCACGCTCACCCAGTGAGCAAACCGGCCATCCCCATATAGGATCCGAACCCATGGCCTTGGTGTCACCAGCACCGCACTCTCCCGAGTGAGCCACAGGCCGGCCCCTATTCACTCTCTTTTTAAACCCCTCAGAACCATGCCCCTGATTACCATTATTAATCCATTCACTACAGTACGTTCCTACAATCCAATCACCTCTTCAAGGCTCCACCTTTCAATTACCGTAATAGGATTTCCCACCCTCTTAATAGTCACAGTAGAGCTAAGTTCCCAATACATAAAACTTGGGGGACACAGTTCAAGCTTCAGTCAGTTTGGGGGGGACATAATTTAATCCCCTGCACCAACCCAGAAACTGCTTGCCGCACATTGCTCTGGTTTATGATCTTTTTTTTAAAGTTTTTTTTGTTTATGCACCCTTAATCTTGGCGGTTATATTTATTGTATGGAGTGACTTGTAAGCATAATAGTGATGTCAGTATGAAGGGGTGACCAGATTTTGTGGAGGTCACAAACTGTGCTTCAGAAGAGAGAATATAATGACAGAAAATAGTTCTCTGTCCAACATTGGTATAATTTGCTGTCCTAGCCTCATTCAACACCAGAGTGGTCACACTGGAGAAAGGCCTTATGAGTGCATTGAATGTAGGAAACATTCACTTTCCTTTGAGAAATTGACTTTGAGGCTACCAAGGCCTACAAAGGTTACCCAAAGACTACAGGGCTTTGTGTTTCTAATTTTTGGCATATGGTCAGAATTTTTGTGAGGTTAGAGGTCACTGTGAAAAGGGCAGCTGTGACAACTTCCAGTGCTTCTGTGAATGTGAATTTTATTCACTTGTTTGCAAGGGATATCACATAATTCCTGGCACAATTGGTTGAGGGGAATCTCTTTCCCAGATCCTGCCAAGGAGCCATGTGTGGTGATGTGCAGAACTGCATAGGCTAGTGTCATTTGTTAGATTATAGGGGTCAGATGTAATTGGGACAGAAACTCTTGGATTAATAGAGTGGAAGAGACTGCAATAAATTAGGTGGAGTGCGCCTCTTTTAAAAGTTCATCCACAAATGTTCCAGTAACTATGGCTGTGTGGAATAAATTCTGTGTACAGAAATTCTCAGGATTTCCATAACTGTATTTCCTGCAGCTGAGATTATTGTCAGAGAAAATAACCTAAGGGTTTTATGGATTCCCATATCCTCTCTGAGCTCTTCATCTTGAGGTCATTGCTGTGCAGGTAGGAAAAGAATAGAGAGGGTAATCTATAGTCTAGTGATGTGGCTTTTGTGACTCAGCCAACATTCCTGTTGATTCAGGTGGCAACAGCCTTCATTGTTTGCCAATATTTGCTGCTACTGAGGCAAGGCTGCTCTTCCCAGGGCAAGAGGAGATGGTGGAGTCCATATCAGGTTCCCAACTTTATTAAGGTATAATGCGTATAATTAACATGCAACAAAGTGCACTTATCTAAATTGTACAGTTTGGGAAAGCCATGAAATCGTCTTCACAACCATGAAAATCAGCATATCTGTCATTCATATATTTACCTTGTACCCTTTTCTCCCCCCCCCTGCCCTTTTATAATCTCTCTCCCTGCCTTCCTCAGCCCCCCAGGCAATCACTGATTTCCTTTACAATAAATTAGTTTACATTTTCTTGAATTTTAAATGATCCTCAACATAAAGTGTATACTTTGTTCTTTTTTAATTTCTTTGGGGTTTTTTTCATTTTTATTTTTTTATTCTTTTTTTAACTGGTTTTCTTTATGTTGCATAACTATTTTGAGATTCAACAATGATGCTTATGTGAGTATTTTTATTGCTGAGTAGCATTCTGGTCTATGGATAAACCATTGTTTATCTGCTTATCTGTTTAGGGACATTTGTGTTATTTATAGATTTTTGCATATTACAAATAAAGCTGCTATAAATATTTGTATCCAGTTTTTTATATGGATGTGTTTTATTTCCTTTGTGTTTATAAGTCAAACTGTAATGCCCAAATTGTGATGTAGGTGAATGCTTAACATTATAAGAAATGCCAAACTGACAGCTAAGTGGTCTTCTCTATTACATTCCCACGAACAGTGTGTGAGAGTTCCAGTTTCTCTACATCCTTCTAACACAGGATATATGGCCAATCTTTTTCATTATAGCCTTTTTAATATGTATGTAGTAGTATCTTACTCTGATTTTCATTCATTTCCCTAAGAACTCATGATGCTGAGCATTTATTTATGTGTTTACTTGCCACTTGTATTATCTTTTTCCTATTTTCTTTTGATAAGTTTATTATTTTAACAAATAAAAATACAGTGCAACAACAAAGACATACGTTGGAATTTCACTCATTCTTCAGTGTAACTTCTTTGCCGTATGGCACAACTGTTTTTGAATACTGGAAGAAGATGTTTTGCCTCAATTTTTTGTCCTGTGCACAATGTACTGCTCTCACATATACACTTTTAGTTTAATCTGCATTATTAACATATTCTCTATTACTTTCTTAAGCCTAAATATTCTGTAATACATTAAATCAAGCCCAGGTTTGTAGTCTTTGCCAAGTTCCTTGGTGTAAATACTCCTATTGTGATCAATTTCAAACTGCCAAAATGATGTCACTGAACATGGCATTAGGAAGAGTTTCTAGTAATGTGCCTGTTTTAGTCCATTTTGTGTTGCTATAACAGAAATACCTGAGACTGGGTAATTTATAAGGAAGAGAGGTTTATTTGGCTTACGATTCTGAGACAGCTGCATCTGTCATGGACCTCCGGCTGCTTCTACTCATGGCGGAAAAGCGGCAGGCAGCTGGCGGGTACAAGCAGATCACATGGTGAGAGGAAGCAAGAGAGAGAGAGGAGGTGCCAGGGTCTTTCAAACAATCAGCTCTTGTGGGAACTAACATAGTGAGAACTCACTCATTACTCCCCCCTCCCCCAGGGGGAGCATTAATCCATTCATGAGGAATCCACCCCCATGACTCAATCAGGTTCCAACACTGCCACATTGGGGATCAAATTTCCACATGAGTTTTGGAGGGGGCAACACATCTGAACTCCATCATTCTACCCCTGGCCCCCCTAAACTCATGTTCCTCTCACATACAAAATACAATCATTCCATCCCAACAGTCCCAAAAGTCT